AACAAGGGTGTCCCCAAGCCAGGATTCCCATCAGTGGCTTGGAGACCTGGCCTGGAGTCACTGTAGGTGCAGTGGGTGTGGGCAGTGAATGGATGCGGGAGCTGCTGTTTGCCTGCCGTCAGCATGGGAAAGTATGTGTGCAACTCCCTGCCTGCTCTGCTGGGCGCAGTGAGGGGAGAGGAATGAGCAGACAGGGTGTGATTGTATTTCCACACTGATGGAATGAGACACGAGGAGATGCAAGAGCTGCTTGCTATCTGGAAGACAGACACTGACAAAACAACGTGGGAAACTCCGAAGGTTGGAGTTGGCTGTGGAGATAGAGCTGAAGTAATTTGTGATAGCTTGGGCGTCTGGCTCTGCTCAGACACAAAAGATACTCATAGAATCCCAGACTGGTTTGTGTTTGAAGGGATGCTTAAAGCTTATCCAGTCCCAGCCCCCTGCCACGGGCAGGGACACCTTCCATTAGAGCAGCTTGCTCCAAGCCCCTGTGTCCAACCTGGCCTTGAACACTGCCAGGGATGGGGCAGCCACAGCTTCTCTGGGCACCCTGTGCCAGCGCCTCAGCACCCTCACAGGGAAGAGCTTCTGCCTAAGAGCTCATCTCAATCTCCCGTCGTTGGTCTGGAATACTGACGCTGGCTGGAATGGGTTCCTCATTCGAGACAGGCTTTGGAGACAAGACTGTGATTGAAAACTGTTCAGTGTCTATTGGTAGAAGTGCAGCAGACAGCAGTGCTCAGAGAGCTGCCAGCACTGCAGGAGGTCACAGCTCCTGGGAGGCTGCGAGGATGAGTAACTGCAGCTGGTCCAGGGGAAAGAGCTTGAAGGATCCGTTTAAACACTGCCTAGTGCCAGCCAGGTCTGTGATCCCCGCAGCAGAGCAGAGATAACCACACCGCTCTGCACTGCCTAGCCATGGCTGAGCTGCTCCCATAGCCAAGTGAACCGGCTGCACTCGCAGCTGATTCACTGGGAATCACTGCCGTAAGGGGAGCTCCTTGGCACACCTTGTGCTGAAACGGGCAGAGCGGGTCCCAGGCCGCGGGGCAGGTCTGAGCTCCAGCAAGGTGCTGATGGAGGTGGCTCCTGAAGCACCAGCTCACACAGGGCCAGGCCTTCGCCTGATGCTCTGCAAACAGGTTACGGCTTGGGCCATCGTGGAAGAAGCATCACCCTCTTCCACATTCACCAAGAGGAAGTTCAGGTTAGATGTAAGGAAGAAGTTCTTTACTGTGAGGGTGGTGAGGCACTGGAACAGGCCGCCCAAAGAAGTGGCAAATGCTCCATCCCTGGCAGTGTTCAAGGCCAGGTTGGACAGAGCCTTGGGTGACACGTGTGAGACACCCCTGCCCATGGCAGGAGGTTGGAACTGGATGATCCAACACAAACCATTCTATGATTCTAAGAGGAGAAAAGGGCTTGTTGAGGACTCAGCGTTGCCCTGACCCAGCCTGCCAGGTCCCACAGGAAGAGCGAGGTCTGGCTTTGCCATTGCAGGACCCAGTTTGAGCCCAGAGAAGGACAAATGAGTCCCTCCCCTTCTCTCCAAGCAGCCCTTCACCCTCCTGCTCTGTCACTGCCTCCCCCTTGTAGAGCTGAAGGAGACCTGGCCGTGCTGCCTGTCTCCTGTACCCTGCAGGCATCCCAGTGGGCAGGAGGGGTCAGACAGGGTGAGCATCGCCCATCACCCTGCCTTTGGGCCCAGCTGTGGCTGCGCTTGCTGAGCTCCTGATGGCAGCTTGCCCTGAGCCTGCCCCACAGGAGTTTCCATTGCATACACACCACAGAGTTTCCTTTCATGGTAAGAGATCTAGGATTGCTTTCCTCCAGATACAGGGGGGTCTGTCAGGACATGTCCTAGCAGATGATAATCAGCAGCTGAGATAGAAGCAAAGACAGCATGTTTCACTCCACACCTTGATATATTTGTTACCCATTTTGGTGGTGTTCAAACCCTCAGAGAGAACCCGTCAGCAGGGGTAAAGCCGGTGCCTGACATTCCTTACAGGCAGGAGACGTCTCTCCCAGGGTTGCATCCTTCAGCTGGTTTCTGCTGAGCTGTGAACTGCTGCAAGAGGCACTGGGGAGAAGCTGGCCCACAGGGAACCCCAGTGATTTCTAATTAGCTCCCATTCATGCCATTAAAGCACAATTAAGTGCTATTGTTTGAGGGAAATGCACCACACTGGCCTGGCCTTTTCTCACCACCCTCACCACAAGGGGTTACTGCGGGTGCTGCCTGTCCACTCCTAACGTATAATTTTATTCACTTCCCTTCCTATTCGAGTTCAGCTCTTCCTTTCCCCCTGCAGCACAGCAGAGGCAGAGATAGCATCTACGGCATGCTTCTCGTTGGAACAGCCCCTGATACCATCTCCTGAGCATTATGACACGTTTTGTTGGGGTTTTTAAAATTTATCTCAAGGGAATTTATTGCGGGTGAGCGTTTCAGCAGAGCCTGGGAGCCTGAATTCTTCTGGTAACATAAAATAGCTGAAGTGGGGCATGTTCTGCTCTATAATCCTGCCCTGTCGAGCCAGTGCAAGGGGAACTCTGCTGAGGGTTTCTCACGTCAGAGCAGGGCTGGTCTGGGGATTGTTGCTCAGGAGCTCAGCCATAGGTCAGGGGTAAAGCTGACCAGCAAGAACATCCATTGGGAAAGACCAGAAAAAGCTGATATTGCAGGACAACCTCCAGATCTCCTCTTAGGCTCCTGTGCCAGCTGTAATAAGGGAGCTCAAATGTGGGCTGAGGTTGTGAGAATACAGAGAGAAGAGCCCTAAATCCAGGCATTCCCTGCCTGTGGCGGGGCTTTGCCTCATTTCAGGGCAGTTGTCACCTTCAGGCTGTCTTTAACTCGCTCTAAAACATGGGGGCAACCTGAGCAGGAGGACAGAGCTCACAGCAGTTTCTGGTCCACGTGAGGGGCTCACAGCCAACATGGGAATTGCCTGGAGCAGGTTTGCTAGAGCAAACATGAGCAAAGCAAGCACGTCTGGGAGAGCCCGGAGCAGGGGTGGCCAAGGGATGGCTCCTGAGCAGAGCTCCCACATGGCGGCTGTTGGGCAATGCCGTACCCCCCACCACGGAGGGCAGCGGGCCAGGTTGCCCCAGGACTGTGCTGGAAGCCTGGTACAGGCGGCTGCAGGCTCTGCCCTTTGCCAGCGGTGGGGTGCTCGACATCCCCCCCCCCCCATTAACCAGCTCACTGAGGGATGGGGCACGTGCACATCCCAAATCCCAAGAGTTTGCAGCTTGCAGGCGGGTCAAGAACCCAGATCTGAAGCCGACCAGGTCTGAGGCAGCGCTGCCCAGAGCCTAGAGCCCTCCGCTCAGAGGTCTCTTTCCGGTTAAGCATCTTCCTTGGTGGCCACCCAGGAAGATCACACCACCCCTCCTGGAGCTGCTAAAGAAAGAGAACGTGACTCCCTATTAAGTCCTTGAGATCTAACAGTGATGTAGATAAAGCGCTGTTGTTATTGTGTCCTTCAGGGAACAGATGAAAGCAGGGAGGCACTATGAATTACCAAGGGTGAGGCTCTGGGAACATCTTAGCAACTCCAAAACCAGTTAAGTGCATTAGAATGTGAAAACAGCCAGAAGTGCCCCGGGAAGGAAGGAGATCACAACAGGAGGGCGAACACAAAAGGCTTCCTAATCCCTCTAACTCTTTCACTACCTCACAGGCACCTCTGCTCAAAGAAAACATAACTCCTCTTATCCGAGGATGACATGGCTGGAGCCAGGCAGGCCGGGCTGGGCGTGCGCTTTCCACTGAGCACTTCAGCAGTAAAGGGATTGGTTTTTCCCAACAAAGAACACAACAGAGCAGTGTCTCCTTTCCTGGTTTCTGTTGCCTTTTTCACGCTAATACCTGTCCGGCTGCATCACTCTAATCGCTGTGCTCAATCCTTTAATAGCCCGGCGCAGGCGTGGCTATGGGGTGGCTGCGCTGCCTAATTCTGCACATATCCTCTGCATTGTCCCGTTTAAACTCCGCTTTGCAGGTGCCCACAGTGCTCTAACCCCTCACTACTCCATGTCTTGCAATATGACCCCAACATAAGAAGGACATGGGGCTGTTGGAGCAAGTCCAGAGGAGGCCACGAAGATGCTCAGGGGCTGGAGCAGCTCCTGTATGGAGCCAGGCTGAGAACACTGGGGCTGTTCAGCCTGGGGAAGAGAAGCTGTGTGGAGACCTCAGAGCAGCTTCCGGTGTCTGAAGGGGGCTATAGGGATGCTGGGGAGGGGCTCTTCATTAGGGACTGTAGGGATAGGGCAAGGGGTGAGGGGTTCAAACTGAAACAGGGCATGTTCAGGTTGGAGATAAGGAAGAAGCTCTTCCCTGTGAGGGTGCTGAGGCGCTGGCACAGGGTGCCCAGAGAAGCTGTGGCTGCCCCATCCCTGGCAGTGTTCAAGGCCAGGTTGGACACAGGGGCTTGGAGCAAGCTGCTCTAGTGGAAGGGGTCCCTGCTCATGGCAGGGGTTGGAACTGGGTGAGCTTTAGGGTCCCTTCCAACCCAAACTGTTCTATGATTCTAAGTCATCAACTGCTGCAGTGGAGTTCTCGGGATGTGATGTAGCAAAGCAAACACTGGGAAACATCAGGCACCTGCCTTTTAAACTGAGTGAAAGCCCCGGTTGTGGGGACTTTCCAGTCTCTGTATAGAGATTCACCCCAGACAAGTATGCAAGCAGAAATTACTCAGGTTTCTCTTCTTTTGAGCTACAAGATTTCTGTCAAAGGTAGTATCATCAGAGCATAAATACCTCCAGGTCTGTGCTTGCCCTGGGACAGAGGTCCTGACAGGAAAACATCCACCTGGCTTTACACTGGCCCGTATAAAGATTATGGATATGCCGAGCTCTTAAGTCACCAGTTTTCATTGGCTTTAGACTCCTTAAGAGCAAACAAATAGATTTGTAGATTTTTAACTATATAAGGCACTGGCAGGCGACTTGGCATGACAGAGGAGTCACTTGTGTTACTTCATGGAGGAGCAGTGGGGTGGAGCTGGAGCGAGCACCTCTGCGTCTCAGGTGCAACGGTGGAATGCTAAAACATAGCCATGAGCGAGGAGCCTTGGGTCTGAGTCACGCCGGGTGCTGGGAAGCCCAGCGGAAGGAGCGGATCCTCCGTGTGCCTGGTGCTCCCAGTGGGATGTGACAAAAGACATGAAATCAGGGAGAGAGAAATGATGATTCTGGAATTTGGCTCTGGCTGTCACGGGTGACGAAAAGCACCGGCAACGCCTCCTGCCCGGGCTATAAAGGGCTCCAGGCCAGGGGGGAGCCAGCACTCGCTGCCTGCGCTGCCGAGCCTCTGCCTCTCTGCAGCCCTACAGCCTCCAGCAGCCTCGGCCATGAGCACCACTGTCAGGCAGTACTCCTCCTCCATGTCCCTCAAGGGGCCCGGGGGCCTGGCTGGGGGCTCCACCAGGCTCTCCTCCGTGCGGGGGAGCACCGGCGGGTACAGAGCCCCCAGCGTCCACGGAGGCTCTAGCAGCTACTCCGTCTCTTCCCGCATGGTCTCAGGCTTCGGGGGTGGCTATGGGGGCAGCTACTGCAGCAGCGTAGGAGGGGGCCTCGGCGCTGGCTTTGGGGGCACCTATGGGGCTGGCTTTGGGGCTGGCCTTGGAGCCGGCTTTGGAGCTGGCTTTGGAGGCGGCGATGGCATCCTCCAGGCTGGCGAGAAGGAGACGATGCAGAACCTCAACGACCGCCTGGCTGTCTACCTGGACAAAGTGCGTGCCCTGGAGGAGGCCAACACTGACCTGGAGGTCAAGATCAGGGAATGGTACAAGAAACAGGCACCTGGTCCCGAGCGTGACTACAGCCCCTACTACAGGACCATCGAGGAGCTCAGGAACAAGGTAGGATGCTGTGATTAACAGTGGGATGTCTGTTATCAGGGAGGAAGCAGGAACACCGACTGCTACCTGTGTAATTAGTAAGCACTAACTAGGTCATAAAAAGTGTGTGAGATGCACATGCAGATTGCCAGGCTGGAGGTTCAGAGATGTCTCAATGTCAGCTTTTGATTACATCCCTCCGGATGGAACAAACAGCAGTTTTCACTGGAAGAAGCAGACGTAAAAGGACATAATGCAGAAGTGAAGAATAAAAGACAAGTCTGAATTGATAATGATTGGTTTGGGGCAGTTCAAATGAATGTTCAGGGCAAGCTGTAGGTGTGGGCAGGCTGTGAAACATTGATGTCATATTGGGAAACATTCATCAAAGCATTTGCAAACTCGCTTTAGCTCCTTAGTACTGAGGTGATTTACATGCTAAAGAGAATAAAGACCTGACCCATAATGAACTTGTTGCCTCCAGAAGTAGCCCCTGCCCCAGGACCAGGCTTGATGCAAACCCATCCAACCCAGGCAGCTCTGGAGGGATTCCTCTTGGATCCCACCACCCCATTTAGGGAAAATACTCGAGTTGACTTTGTTCTTCTCTGTTGGTGCTCACGTATGAATTGTCCCCAGTAAACATGAAGGAGGGCAATGTACAGTTTGAGCTGCAGGAGTGCTGGCAAAAGGTGCAGGGAATCCATTTTCCTTCCCTCTCCTTTGCCCCATAACCAACGACCTCCCAGACTCTGACCTGAATCTTCTCCCAGGGTGGATTAGCTGCTCCTGGCTTTGTAATACAAAACCTCAGAAGATGTAGGCACTTCCTCACTGCCTTGTTCTCCATTTCTGCAGTCAACAAGTCAGAACCACCCCAGACCAGGACAGGTTGGACAGGGCTTGGAGCAAGCTGCTCTAGTGAAAGGTGGCCCTGCCCGTGGCAGGGGGTTGGAACTGGATGAGCTTTGAGGTCCCTTCCAACTCAATCCATTCCATGCTTCTATGATGCTGTGAAACACCCTGCTGGTCCATCTGTTCTGCCTGCTGTGCATGAGGAGCAGGTGGCTCCTCGTTGACTCTTTGCACCACCAGCACCCACATGGGAACAAAAGCCATCATCAGATCTCACCCACCTTATGTGCCTTCATGCTGTCTTTTGAAATACTTCCTGACAGATTCTTGGGAAGAGAGGTCCCAGAGTAACCAGCCCCTTCCTGCAGCCAGTCCCACCTGTGCCTCCCTTGCCCTGGTTCAATACACACTTCTGCTAAGGAAATTACTCCTCTCCTGATGGTCTCACTTGTGCTCCATCTCTTGCTAAGCCAGGAGAAGTTCCTGACACTCATTTAGTGCTTGTTCTTTATCCTCCACCCTCCAGGTCCTGGTGGCCACAGTGGACAATGCTAACTTGCTCCTGCAGATTGACAACGCCAGGCTGACAGCTGATGACTTCAGGACCAAGTAAGCCACTTTCCCTGGAAAAATGGAACAAAGTCTCCATAGGCGTTTGATGAAATGAGGAGAAAATCCCGTCCAACCCTCAAAAAGGGAATATGGAAACAAAGCCTTCAAAATGAAGGTGTAATTTCCAAAGCAGATGGTTATCTAACACTTACAGGCCCTTAGGGATTGTTTTGTTTCCATCCAAAACTTCACTGAATGGAAACTTTTATTCCCACTGCTTGTTCCTGTGTGGTACAGCCTCTCCTGTGCAGAGAACCTGGACTGTGCTTCCGCTGCTCATTTAACTGTGTGTGCGTAGCTCAGCAAAGCCCAGCCCCAGTAACAAAGCCCACTGACACCAGGGGCAAGGTGGTGTTACAGGCTCAGATGGACACAGGTTTATCAGTTGTTTGCTAGCATTCACCATCAGAAGGGTGTCCTGGGGTCAGGCAGTATTGCCACGATGCCAGCAGCAGCATGGAGGAAGTGAACAACAAACCCAAGTGCTCTGTCCCCAGCTGGGCAAGATCCGGTGCAGCTCTTCTGACTGTTCCTGTCCCCAGGTTTGAGACGGAGCAGGCTCTGCGCCTCAGTGTGGAGGCCGACATCAACGGCCTGCGCAGGGTCCTGGATGAGCTGACCCTGGCCAGGGCGGACCTGGAGATGCAGATCGAGAACCTGAAGGAAGAGCTGGCCTACCTCAAGAAGAACCACGAGGAGGTGAGCACAGAGCCAGGCTCAGAAAATTCCTCCCTGGGCCCAGAAATACAAGGTGTGGTTCAACCTTTAAGACTACCCTGAGTCTGGAATTGCTGGGAAGGAAATGAGAAGTGCTGGGAAGGAAATAGGGATGATTTGCTCTGGATGACAGCATCCTCTCCAGACCCTGTATAAAATCCATCCAGCACTTCTCATTTCAGGAATGTCCACTGTAGCTGTTAGAGATGTATTAAAATCCTAGCAGCTTCAGGCCTGGAAGATCTGTCTCCTGAGAAATGAAGCCAGCTCCAGGCTCTGATTTATTATCTAACAAATTAACTCAAGTGCAGATTTATTAAAAATTTGGATTCTTTGATTTCTGACTGTGGAGCAAAGGCCCCAAATCATTCCTGTTGATCTCCCTCTGAAACACCCATGGAAGGATGCTACCCTTCCTGGAGGACTCTGTCTTGAGATGAACATCTTTATATGCCGGTGGCTGGGTTGCATGAAGATGTGTTTCTCTTTTGTGCCAGGAGATGAATGCCCTGCGCGGGCAGGTGGGCGGCGAGATCAGCGTGGAGATGGATGCTGCCCCTGGAATTGACCTCACCAAGATCCTGGCTGAGATGCGGGAGCAGTACGAGAGCCTGGCGGACAAGAACCGCCGGGATGCTGAGCAGTGGTTCTTCAGCAAGGTGAGCTGCTCGACGCTGGGGCTGCGGGGCTGGGGCTGTGCCGCTCACCGGTGCTCTAACGGCACGGCTCTGGTTGTGCCTCGGTGCAGACGGAAGAGCTGAACCGGGAGGTGGCCATCAACACGGAGCAGCTTCAGAGTGGCAAGACAGAGATCACGGAGCTGCGCCGCACCATCCAGAGCCTGGAGATCGACCTGCAGTCCCAGCTCAGCACGGTACGAGGGGCCAGGGGCACGCGGGGCCACGGGCAAGGGGACACGTGGCTGCTCCCGTCCCTCCCGCTCCCCATTCCCCCCTGAACCCGTCCCTCTGCTCCACACGCAGAAAGCGGCGTTGGAGAGCACCTTGGCTGACACAGAAGCCCGCTACGGCACCCAGCTGGCCCAGCTCCAGGGGCTCATCACCAGCGTGGAGGAGCAGCTGGCTGAGCTGCGGTGCGACATGGAGCGCCAGAACCAGGAGTACAGGGTCCTGCTGGACGTCAAATGCCGCCTGGAGCAGGAGATCGCCACGTACCGCCGGCTGCTGGAGGGCGAGGATGCCCAGTACGTAGAAGGGCTTTGATGGGAGGGCAGGAGATGGGGATTAGCGAAGAAATAGAAAACGAACCACCTGCATTCCCTGGAGGATCCTGTGAGCCCCTCTCCTGACACGTGGAGTGCAACAGGGTCTCCCTTTTTGGTCATACAAGTCTAGAACAGCCCAGGGGTTATCACAGCACTGCAGCATCCCTGGGATCCATCCCCATCCCTCCAGTGTCTGTGTGATCCTGGGGAAGGAGCAGGTACCAGTGCTGCTTATTGCAGCTGCCTTTGTGTCTGAGTCACTGTGGCACACACGTTTCCTTCTCGTTTCCTTCCTTACCATTTTGACAGTAGGCCCTTCTCAGAGGCATTTTAATCACATGGCGGTACAAGAAGAAAAGTCAGGGGGGTAAATAATGATTTTGTCTCAGATTACTGAGTTTTTCCCCTTTTTCTGACCACTCTTTCTCTTTTCTCCTCCTGTAGCATGTCTTCTCACTTGAAAGAAGGTAAGAACATGTCTTGGCTGAAGCACTGACCACAAAGAGCTCTGTCACATCCTTAGTGACCTTCTTAGCACAGTCTTTTTACTAATTTGCTAAAATCACTGTTTCATTACGTTTTCAAAACATGAATTGACATAAACCACTGAGGATTTGCCAAAACATGTTTCAGAAGTTCCTCTGTGCAGACTGGAACTATGTAATGAAGCGTGTAGGGGTAGGAACGTGGTGGTGATGCTGGGTTTCTAAGGCAGCTGTTGGTAATAACACGGAGATCTTTAAGACGCTTGCTCCTTGGATCCCTGTAAATAATGGTTCCTTCCTTCTCCACTGCAGTGCCGGTCACCACCCGCCAGATCCGCACCATCTTTGAGGAAGTCCAGGATGGGAAGGTGATCTCCTCCCGTGAGCAGATCACCCAGGCAGCCCACTGAGGCGGCTGCAGGCTCGCTGCAGACCTCGCCCAGCAAAGCCAAAGGAGATTCCAGCTTCTGTGCTCCGGCTCTGAGATCACAAAAAGCAGCTTCTCTTTTCTCACATCCACTGCCCTCCCCCTTTCTCACAGCGCTTACGAATCAAATAAAGCTCTTCTTCACACTCGTGCAAACCTGGCTCTTGTCTTGGCGCTCTGAAGAGCTGGGCTGTCCCACTGCTGGAGCTATAGGACAAAGCTCCTCTCTGGAGAGAGGACTATTGTCTGTCTTTGGTACCTAGAGAGTGGGAGCAGGTCACCTACACCGCTATCATACCAGAGCCCTGGCTGCTCAGCAAAGACAGCTGATGTGCTGGAGGTCTAGAAAAGAGCCGATTACATGGGTCATGGGAGGTGGAACTTTGAGAGTCTGCAGGTACCCTCAGATGTGGCACGATGACCTTCAGGTTGGGCAAAGTGCCCCTTCCCCGGTTGCAGTGTACAGCCACAGCAGAGCTGAAGCTTTGAACTTGGAGAGCCCAAGCAAGGAGGTGAACAAAACCCAGGTCAGACAGACAGGACCTTGCCAAGGATTCCCTTCCCTGCTCTGCTCAGCAGTTCCCCTGTTAAACAGCTTTGGGGTAACATGAATTAAGCAGAGGAGGTGGCAGGATGGGCTGGCTGATACCCCTCCAGAAGTACAACCTCAGCTCAGTTTAATTCTCACTTCCAAAGGCATTGCTAAAGGGTGAGGAAATGAGTGCTGGTGACTGCTGGGTATGGTCTATCCAAGCAAAAAGATGGAAAGTCTCCCAGGCTGCCAGGGCTGGCCCTGGCACAGCAGCTCACGCTGCCGTCAGCCGGCCCAGCCGTTCCTTGAAAGCCAGTTCAGACGCATTCTTGGCTGGATTCCACCCCAGTTATTACTTCATAAATCCAGCTCCTAAATCAATGGGATGATTCAGGGAGACACCACTGAATGTGCACAAGAACAGAGCTGGCCACAGCACTTTAAGACCCCAGATAATCTGCTTGAATTTTATGGGCTGATAACAGAGAATTCTTTGGGGGGTTTTAAATATTGAAAGGCTCCCTCCAATGCACCACCCACACCACGAGCTGGGGCAGCCCAGTGCATGGGCTTGAGCTCTGTGCAGTGTCACTGGTGGCTGTATCCCCCCGTACATGAAGAACAGATCCCCACTGATCCTCAGCCACCCCAGACCGAGCCACCTCTAAGCATTGCACGCCCGACTTGTGGTAAACACGGCTTTGGTTCTGAAGCTTACCACTGACCAGCAGTGCTCTCGTTTCCACCCACATTCCACCAAAGGACATGTAAACACGGCCCAGTGGTCAGGAGAACGGCTCCCACTGCTCGGCTGCTGCACACCCTCATGGTGCAGCCAGGACAGGCCACGGGTAAACACCAGGCACAATTCCTGACCCGAGGCACTTCCAGGCACAGCATCCCTGCAGTGCTATAGACTGTGCTGCCTCTGCTCCCAGCCCCTTGAAGGAGGGAGCCCTGCACATCCCAGAGCCTCTCCCCAGGCTCCAGTGTGGAGCAGCCCAAGCTGAGATGCCTGGGAAGGGCAAGGACAGACTCAGCCGGGGCTCCCCAGGTCACCTCTTAGGGACCCGCTGTTCTCCCCATGGGTGGTGCAGGGGCCATCAGCACCTCTTGCAGCTCCTCTCCAACAGCCACCTTTGCAACACCCACCGTGGGGATGCTAAAGGTACCCCATGGCTTTCCCCCGGAAGAGTCCAGGCACACCGGTGTTGCCATAGAACCAAATAACGCTTTGCTAACAAACCCCCCTGTTTTAATTACTTTTGGTACTGCAAATGGGCAGTCAGGTGTGGAAAATACACCTTGATTCTTTCTTGCCTTAAGCATTAATAATTAGGCCTGTCTTCAAGAAGGCGCTGAGGAGGGAGCTGCAGGTGCTGGCTTATGCAGACAGGCAGCGGCAGCTTGAGGCAGGTTTCAGAAAGCGGGATTTTATTCCAGAAAGATGGTTTGCCTCTCAGGCTGCACTGAGATAACCTGACATAAAGGACCAGCAGAAGGAAGCACTAAGGCGTGATTGTTCTAGGGAACCTTCCTATGATAATGTGATACCAGGGCACATTTTATAAGCTCATTAAAATAAGCAGAGAGATATTTTTGTCCGGGTAGTTTCACCTACCAGATCTACTAATAGGTATGTCTGGAGCCAGAGCCTCACCTCTGCTTTCCTCTTGAAGTAAGACAGAATTGCATGTTCAACCACTAATGTGCTGCCATGAAATCACTGTTATGCCACAGCACTGCCATTCTGATTTTGAAATGTATAAAGAAGAGGCTCGGAGTGTGCATGTACTCACGAAACAGAGGCAGAATCTGAGTTAATAGTCAGCCTTTTACTTAAAAGAGTGTGATACAAACAGCATGCAGTCATTTGTGGTTGTCTTCAATGGGAGGTCATGGAAATCATGTCTTAGAATTTTTCATGTGGTTTTAAGTCTTAATTAACACTTCATGACTTTAATTGCTGCCTTGTGGTATTATCAACATAGCGCAGATATTTTGAGCAATGTGTATTTTTATGACACAGCAGTTAAATAGGAAACAAAAGATAAAAGAAAAGGTAATTTCATGTGAAGGATGAATCTAGAATCATAGAATTCTAGAATCACAGCCTGGTGTGGGTTGGAAAGGACCTCAGAGCTCCTCCAGCTCCAACCCCTGCCACAGGCAGGGACCCCTTCCACTGGAGCAGCTTGCTCCAAGCCCCTGTGTCCAACCTGGCCTTGAACACTGCCAGGGATGGGGCAGCCACAGCTTCTCTGGGCACCCTGTGCCAGCGCCTCAGCACCTTCACAGGGAAGAGCTTCTGCCTAAGAGCTCATCTCAGTCTCCCCTCGGGCAGGTTAAAGCCATTCCCCCTTGGCCTGTCACTGCTGTTAACCTTGTGCATTGTGACAGTTACTCTTCCTAAAGCCGACCAGTGGGAAGACGATCACTCCTGCTGCTGGCTGGCCCGAAAGCCCTTGCCCAGGTCAAGGTCCGGGCTTCACGAGGGCTCTGTGCTGGTTTTGTCACTGACATTCCCCTTTCTCCGTGCCACTGACGCACTCTGCCAGGACAACCCCAAGTTCTGCCCCTTTGCATCACCCAGGTGAAGGTGAGGAAATGCAGACAGGGGAACGCGTGCTCCTTAGAGCTGCTGTGCTGTTCCCATCCTCACCGGGGAGGACGAGCAGGGAGTGGGTGCCCGCAGGCTCCGCGCTCCATCCCCTTGCACTCATGTGACAAGAAGATGCTGTTGCCAAGAGACTGAACCCATCCTCTGGCCAGAGCAAACACAGCCGAGATTCCAGCTCTCCAGGTCTCCAAGTTGTACAGACTTGTCTCTATTCATGGCCAACTCCTGATATTCCCAGGACTCCTGTATCGCTTCCAGCTTTCTTCAGATAAAGTGGAGGGAGTCATGCCCTTTAAAGCTACTTACAAATGTACCTTTGCTGCTTATTTCCATGTTCTTTCCCCCCTCCTTTGGCAAATGATCTAAGGCAGAACTTGGCTGTTGGGAAGGGGCTGTTGGGGCCTGTCTGTGAAGACAGTCAAACGATTCACCATGTACACACTTGAGAAATATCTTCTCCTCCACACCCTGCATTACTAGCTAGTGACACTTGAGATGCGGTTTCTGCCCGTGACGCAGGTCAGTGCAGACAGTAGCCAGAGGAGCTTGACCATGCTGTGTGCACTCATTCTTTGAGCTGTTTCGCTCCTCAGAGGCAACCCGTGTCTCCTTGCAGCTCTATTTACATGGGAGCTGAAAAATCCAGACTCACACTGAAGTTTGTGCTCCCTGGTCACAACTGAAATGTTCACCACAGAAAGTATCATCAGCATTAGCTGCTAAGCTTTGTCACTGTCAACTCCGTGCTCTTGTTCACTGTGCTTAGAGAGCAGGAGCTTTGCTCTTTACATCCTTTATCTACTTATGCTATTCCACGTTATTTCCTGGAGCATCTCGTAGGTTTTACCTCATGCCAGCCAGTAGCCATACCCTGCCTTCTTGAATGGTCTGCTGGGCTCTCATTCACAAAGAGCAACACAAAACATCCACTGCCTATTGCCTTTTCATATTCCTCCACTCTTGGGTGGTCTCTGAAGCAAACTGAAGAACTGGATGAGCCCTGAAGCATGAATTTCCTTCTCATTGCTTTTTCATTACAGAACATCCCTCTCCCTGTGGATAAAAAAGCGGACAAGTCTTTCCAGGATTGGTAGCCAAGTTCCTTCTAGCACTGCTGTACTTACAGGATGGGGATGTACATTCAGGGCTTCACGACACAGTGGTTGTCCCTGCATGTGTGCTGTGTATAAAGCCTAAATGGAGACAGGAACTGTAGTAGCTGGGACAAAAAGACACAGCAAAAGGTGCTAAATTACTCTGTTAAAGCACTGCCTCAGTAGCTGTTTCAGAGCTAACAGTACAAAGCAGTATTAAAATGTAGCCCTGAGCGAGGAGCCTCCTCCTTTGAATCACACCTGAGTATTTACTTGGAAACGGAAGAAGCATAAAGACGCCCTTTGCGAGATAAAACATTTCTATTGGAATAGGACAAAAAGCATCAACAGAACAAAGGCAGAAATGATGATTCTGGAAGTTGGCTCAGATTTTCGGAGTGATGAAAATCATCGGGAATGCAAGAGGAAAAAAAAGCGCGGGCAACGCCTCCTGCCCGGGCTATAAAGGGCTCCAGGCCAGGGGGGAGCCAGCACTCGCTGCCTGCACTGCCGAGCCTCTGCCTCTCTGCAGCCCTACAGCCTCCAGCAGCCTCGGCCATGAGCACCACTGTCAGGCAGTACTCCTCCTCCATGTCCCTCAAGGGGCCCGGGGGCCTGGCTGGGGGCTCCACCAGGCTCTCCTCCGTGCGGGGGAGCACCGGCGGGTACAGAGCCCCCAGCGTCCACGGAGGCTCTAGCAGCTACTCCGTCTCTTCCCGCATGGTCTCAGGCTTCGGGGGTGGCTATGGGGGCAGCTACTGCAGCAGCGTAGGAGGGGGCCTCGGCGCTGGCTTTGGGGGCACCTATGGGGCTGGCTTTGGGGCTGGCCTTGGAGCCGGCTTTGGAGCTGGCTTTGGAGCTGGCTTTGGAGGCGGCGATGGCATCCTCCAGGCTGGCGAGAAGGAGACGA